TTATTTTATTTTATTTTATTTTATTTTATTTTATTTTATTTTATTTTATTTTATTTTATTTTATTTTATTTTATTTTATTTTATTTGAGACTGGGTTTCTCTATATAGTCCTAGCTTTCTGGAACTCACTTTGTAGACCAGAGTGGCCTCAAACTCAGAGATATCTACCTCCCAAATTCTGGGATTAAAGGCCTGGGCCACCATGCCTAGCTGCCTTTTTAAATTTTAATTGAAATTCTTTTTATAGTTTATTCAGATAAAGCTTTACTCCTGCCAGATTCTCCCCACCTCCCCATCCACCCAACTCCACAAAACAAACAAAAACAAAATGAGCAACAACAAAACCAAGAAACACACACACACAAGCAAAAGACCAATAAAACGAAAACAAAAACAAAAAATGCCCAAATAAAACGAAGCAAAAGTGTACAAAAATATTAGTTTGTCATGTGTTGGCCAAATGCTCCTGTGTTTAGGGCCGACTCCCATCTGTAGTTAATGTACCCAACAAGATTCCTTGGAGGAAACACACTTTCCTTTGTCAGCAGAGCCAGCTGCAGATAGTTTCTTCGTTAGAGGTGGGAGCCTGTGTCTGCTTCCCTTCCCAGCACTTGGACCCCATGTGGCTTGAACCTGTACTCTTCATATTTTACTTTGAGGACTCCTGATTTTATGTTGCAGGCTATCCAAACTTATACAAACTATTCAACTTGGCTTGAAAAAATAAAGCAAGCCTGAATTTGAGGCTTATTTTGAACTACAATATTGCAAAAATATGAGGCTAGGGCTTGGCTTGTTCAGCAGTACTGAGGTAAGTCAAGCACGTTGGGTTGAATGGCATCGTTTACATAGAGGACTGTTTTCAATCTGCTGAATCTTCCCAGGCTCCCTTGCAGATAACAGAAGTCATGTCTTCCCATTTCCTCCCTAGGAGTGGACTAAGGCACGGTCCATCTTCCCCTGGAGCCATTCAGATCCAGACTCTTTCTCTTCTCTCTCTCTCTCCAGCTAGTTTTGGTTTTTTGTTTGTTTGTTTGTTTGTTTGTTTGTTTTATAGCTAACAATAGATATAGGCCTGAACTTGGTGAAAATTTTGGAGGTTTTTGTTTAAAACCTTGATTGTTTGGATTGTTTTCTTCTTGACTGTTATATTGATAATATATATTTTATATACATACATATTATAAAAGTACAATATATATATGTACTTCTACAGTATGTATGCAAAGCACTTTTACAATGCATATATAGTAATACATAGTAACACTATATATTGCATAGAATATATTACATTATGTATTACATATAATATATTTCCAATTTATAATACATTACATATATATTACTATATATAATGTAAAAATAAATATATATATATATTGTAAAAGTTAAAAAACATATGTATTGTAAAAGTAAAACAAGAAAGGAGATGTGATCTGACAATCTTGATAGTATTGCAAGTTTTTATTTCAAATTGTCCCTTAATACTGTAAGACTTGGAGTCTCACTGCTCAGGAGCTCAGGATCGCGCCCTTCCCAGGAACTCTCACAGACCACAACTTGATGCAAAAGCAAAAGGTTTTATTGCTATCGCGATAGGGTCGTCGTCCCTCCAAAGATAGGAGACGGAGACGACCCCAAACATGCAAAGCACAGGGTTTTTATACCTGAAAATCAAATCACTTTGCTCTATAGTTTACAGCTGGTTGTAGATAGTTTACAGCTGGTTGTAGATAGTTTACAGCTGGTTGTTTCTCAGAACAGTTCACCCCACCCTTCAAGAGCTCTCTGTACCTTGCTTCAATTCAAAGAATCACAGTTGTTTCTCATTCCCTGGTGGCCCCTCATTCCAGGGGCCTCCTTATTTACTCTTTCATTCCAAAATTATCTGTTGCATGTCCATAGACCAGAAAATCTGGTAAAACACTGAGGAGAGAAAAGGCTCTGTTTTGTATGTTTTTGTTTAGACAGAAAATAAAAACAAAAAACACTTAAACTACAGAATATAATGTGCTAATGTAATAGGTACTGTACTTGGAATGTGCAGAACAGCGAGACAGATGTGTGGAGGAAGGGCTGAGGTGGACGGGCAGCATGGCAGAGTCTGAGATGCGCTCTCTTCTGAGGAGAGGCCTGAATGCAGGCAGCGTCTGCTCAGCCACGTCAGGCAGGCAGGGAGTACAGCCACTGTGACCTAGATCGTCTCCCTAGACAATCGTCTTATGATTGCCATGGCAGGAGCACATGGCAGGGCACAAGACCAGCAGGTGAAGGCCAGGAGGGAGGATCCATAGTTTCCTTTGAGAACATATTTTCAGCCGGTCAAGCACTCTCCACTAGGCCCATCTTCCCTTATACTGCCAAGAGGATGACCAAGTCATTAAAATATTACATATATATATGTATATATTGAATCTTAAATGTTCCACAAAGAACATATATATATATATATGTATACACACACACACACACACACACACACACACACACGCACAGCACACACACACATACCTAGTGAGACTCCACTAGAGAAAACTTTTTTTCCTTTGCCAGTAGTATCAATTGCAGTTAGCTTCTTGGTTAAGAATTGAAGCTTGTGTCCATTTCCTCTTCCCACCACTGGGATTGATTGGACCTATGACATATGGCCTTGGCAAGCTGATTCATGGAGATGAGGAGTATGTGGAGAAGCAGTACCCATCATGTTGAGACATGAGAAGGAGGAGGGGCTGGAAACACCTTCCAAGACCTCCCTCCCCTGGCCTGACTCCAGCAGCCCCTCCTCTAAATGGTATCACCACCTTCCAGTAGAGCAGAGCCTGTGACAAAGCCCTTAACTCACTGGCCTTTAGAGATCTCCTACCCAAACCACAGCAACAGATAGGAACATCAGATTATAACATGGAATATGATGTTTTAAAAAGCATTTGCTTCCACTATGTTTTACAATACCCAGAAGTCAAATAAAGTCTCAAGTCATGCTTACTGAGAAAAAACAATGAGACAGACTGGTGTGTGTGTGTGTGTGTGTGTGTGTGTGTGTGTGTGTGTGTGTGTGTTATTTCTAATGGCCACATAGGTCTGAATATAAAACTCTTGCATTTCTTCATATGCCTAGTCTATTATATATTAAAATCTCAGCATGGAACAGGTTATTTTTTGACATCCCCACAGTATCAAAGTGCCTATGTCATCCAGAATCTATATTATAAATACTATCTAACATCATAAAATGCTCTTCTACTTATGGGACCTTGATTACTTAATCTCTCAAGAATACTGAATAAATATTCAAAATTCAGGGAGGTAAAACTAAATGGAAGTGTGATTATTTTATAAACACCATATCTCAACATTAAGGAGGAGAATATCACAAATTATATGTTACACTTATTCTTAGGTTTCTTTTGACTCCTTAAAACTCTGAAATTTCTGAGTAGATAAAATGTTATCATCTTAAAAGAGGTGGATGAACGTTTGTTTCTATGACCATTTGTGTCATGAAACCTGGGAATGTTTTTACAAAGTGAGACAGAAACTTGCCTCCTTCATCCCTTTGTACTAATCTACATAGGGTGGTAACCAGCTGTAATTTATTTTTCTTTGAATATTTAATGATCTTCTGTTTAAATTAAAGAGCAATTACTGTGTGATTTTTTATGGAATGGAAAGAACAAAAGCTCTCAGATTATTTCCAGCTTACCCTTCTGAATTCTATAAACAGATGCCTTTTCTCAGTGGATCATGAACTCTGATCATTGCACAACTGTTTCCTAAGACACAACAAGAGTTTGCCAAACCAGTATTTCCTAGATGGAACAAAAGGTGTCACTTGATAACCTCCAAAGGTGTTGGCCTACAAGGCAGGTGTATTCCAGCTTCCTGGATCACTGCGTCAAATCTCTTGCAGGCTCATGCACACACATACCATTAATACAGCACAATTTCTACCAAATGGTTTTTCTCCTATCAAACTTAGGCTTATTTATTATTTTTTCTTCTATTTAATCTTTCCCATAATAAAATTTCTATTATCTAAAATTATTTTATGTCTAATAAAAAATATGAGATATAGCAGAATTTTAATTTGCAGAAAATAGAATTTTTATAATGAAGAAAAACAGTGTGATTCTTCTAGGTTAACAATCAGAAGTTCATTCTTTATGTTTGCCTTTTCATATTATTTTTTTAGTTAATTTACACTACCCCTTTGCATTTATAATGATAATTTGCCAATTTTATCGTACCACCTCATTGGGTATCTGAATGAAATAAATAGCTTTGATCATAGTCCATGTATAAAATCAACCTAGACCTGAGAGAAGAATGTGATTGCGAAGGAATGCCAAAGATGATAGAAATGTTGCCCTTCTGAGTATGACCACCATATTCTAGCTCATAATGTAGCTCCAGGAGAGAATTTTAAAAAGTGACAAATCCATTTGCATATCTTAAAATCCCTTCTGCATATCTTCTTGCAGTACAGAAGATGCCCATCTGTCTTCTCTTCTGTCTGCACTGACTAAGAGCTGATTATGGCCCAGACAGTATTCTAGGCATTGCTGTCAACCAGAGGCACAGAGAACAGTGACTTCACATCTCCCCGTGAGTGGGAAAGACAGGTGACTAACAGAACTCTAGCAAATGAACAAGGTGCTGTCGTAAGAAGTGGAAATTTAGTGGAGAAATGTAGTGCACCATAAGAGAAAAAGTAACAGGAGTAGGGTGTGTCCCCTAGGAATCTGAAATTGGCAAACAGGGTTGAATCTGCTGGGAAAGTAATGATGACTAAAGACGTGGAAGATGTGAGGAACAAGCCAAGTGGCAAAGAACTCAGGGAACTGATGTGATCGATTTCTGTGGGGATGCCAGTAGCCGACATGTTGAGCCGTTGCAAGAATCTGGTGACATGCTCATGGCAGAGGCCACATGGAGGAAGTGAAAAGGGTGTGAACTGGCCAAATTCTGAAGACACGTTAAGGAAAGTCTATAGAACATAAAAGCTCTAACTCAGCAAAAGACATGAAGTGGACAGGAGCCCATGCCCCACCTTTGGAGAAGAAAATTTCAAAATAGAAAATTTACTGGAAAAGTAGAGCTGCCAAGGAAAATCATTATTTATGACAGTGAAGAAATAGAAATGTAATTGTATTTATAATGAGCTGTCAGCATTATTCAGAGAATTACCCATCTCTAGTCACATGAGAGGTGGGTTCTCATGGCACACTGTAATTTTTTCAAAGTGTAGAAAGAAGACCCAATATTCTCAGGTTGCAAACTACCTGTGTTTTGATAGCAAATGGCCAACATCCAGAGAGTTCCTATTAAGCAAAATAAACATTTTTTTTCTTGAAAACACCATGCCTTCTACAGAAGATTATGAAGGGCTTTCCAGGAATCTTATTAATGTTCAAATAAAATGCCAAATACTAACAAATCTGTTAAGTTACCAGGCCCCTTAGAGTCTATGCTGAAGATAGGGGAAATTATCCCATACTAAGAAAATAGATACTGCTGCAGCTACCCTTTTAAGCAAGAAGCTTTGAAATGGATGATGAATCCTTAGAATGTTAAATCTTTAGACACTCTACTGGGTTTATTTGCATTTAAAAGAAATGATAATCAAAACTTCCAAATTAGATAAATTTTCTGGGAAGCACAGCTAGGAAGTATTCAAAAATATACATCTCATTTTTTACTTTTTAAGAAAGCCAGTGAGATCAATGAAAAGAAATTTAAGTTGAATTGTGAGATTCAAATATGGCAATGCAAATTGGACATATTTGAATTTCTGATCAGTATAATAAGGTAATTTATGTTTCTTTTATTAATAGATTCAGGCAAATTGCAGATGGTGAAAAAAAAAAACAAGTTGCATAGCTGTTAAAACTCACATCAAAACTACAGTATTTTTAAAGAAATAAAATATTTTCAGATAGATTTAAAAATTCCTTTATTGTACAATACTAATGAGCTTTATGTCACAATAAACAGCTTGACTATGCAATGTATAAACTATTAATTAATGAAACGCTATTTTTTAAATATTTTTGCCCTGTCTGAATTTTTAGTATATATAATCAATAAATCAATGTGTTTTTGTTTTTGTTTTTGTTTTTTGTTTGTTTTTAATTTATGGTGAGGATAAATGAGGAGCACTGTAATGATTAGACCAATCTGCTCAGGATTATCTCTGTGGAAGTGAGAAGGTGAGCCATGGAGATACATGGGAGCCGAATCATAATGGCTAATGATATATGAAGAGGAATAAGTGGCCCCACGTTAGGAGAGTGGCCTTTGGCTCATTTCCTCCAATGCGGATTCTCAGATAGCTTCGTGTGCAAGGCTTTTACTAAAGAATTACTCTCGGGCCTAGGATATAGCTCCAAAGAGAAAGTACTTGCTGCGTAAGCATGAGGACCTGAGTTCAAATCCCCAGAGCTCAAACAAATGCAATAAATACGCGATGCCAAATGTGCTGATGTCCGAGCTAAAACAAGTCAACTGGCAGGGCCCAAATCAAGAATGGAGGAAATGAAGCCTGTCTTTTAAGAAAGAAGAACGGGGACTGGCTGCTCTGAAAAGCCATCTTTGCATTGTTCCCGGGTCCTGCTCCCCCGCTCGCTGCAGCCGCCTTCGCTGCAGCCGCCTTCGCCCCTGCCTCCTCCTCCACTGCGGACTCCGGCAGCTCTCTCACCGGAGTCCTTGAACTCGATTTCTCTCTCCCTCAGCTGCATCGGACCACCGGCGTGCCCCACCACGTCAGACGCGGCAGTGGACACCAGCTCCGAGATCTCCACCAAGGACTTGAAGGAGAAGGAGGAAGCTGTGGAGGCGGCAGAAAATGGAAGAGACGCACCTGCCAATGGGAATGCTAATGAGGAAAATGGGGAGCAGGAGGCTGACAATGAGGTAGAAGAAGAAGAGGAAGAAGGTGACGGTGAGGAGGAGGACGGAGATGAAGATGAGGAAACTGAGGCTCCTACGGGCAAGCGGGTAGCTAAAGATGATGAGGATGATGATGTTGACACCAAGAAGCAGAAGACTGATGAGGATGACTAGGCAGCAAACAGGAAAAGCTGAACTTGAGGCCACCGTGACCTATTCACCCTCCACTTCCCGTCTCAGAATTCAAACGTGGTCACCTTCCAGCGGAGAAGCAGGCCCGGCCCCACAGCGGGCAGGGTCACCCACAGATGACATGCGCTCTCCACCACCCCACCAAAACCACAACATGAATTTGCAACAGGGGAGAAAAAGAACCAAACTTCCCAGGCCCTGCTTTCTTTCTTAAAATACTTTGTTTGCATTTTTTATTTACATTTTATATTTTTGTACCTATTAGGGGTCAGCCATTTTAAATGATAACGGGTGACCAAACCAGCCTTCAGAGCGTTCTCTGTCCTCTTCTGACTTTACTTGTGGTGTGACCATGTTCATTATAACCCCAAAGGAGAAAAAAAAAACTTGTAAACAAAACAACAACAACAAAACAATCTTATTCCGAGCATTGCAGTAACTTTTTGTGTATGTATTTAGCTGTACCATAAGTAGTTGGTTTGTATGAGATGGTTAAAAAGGCCAAAGACAAAAGATTTCTTTTCCCCCCTTTTTTTGGTCTATGAAGTTGCTGTTTATTTATTTATTTGTTTGTTTGTTTATTTATTGGCCTGTTTGATGTATGTGTGAAACAATGTCCAACAAAACACCAGAATTTTATTTTGCTGAGTTGTTCTAAAAAAAAAGAAAGAAAGAAAGAAAGAAAGAAAGAAAGAAAGAAAGAAAGAAAGAA